AAGAGTTGACTCATTGGAAAAGACCCTGATGTTGGGAGGGATTGGGGGCAGGAGGAGAAGGGGATGACAGAGGATGAGATGGCTGGATGGCATCACCAACTCGATGGACTTGAGTTTGAGTAAGCTCCGGGAGTTTGTGATGGACAGGGAGGCCTGGCGTGCTGCGATTCATGGGCTCGCAAAGAGTTGGACACAACTGAGCGACTGAACTGAACTGATGTTCATATTTTCATTTTGTTAATTGTTTGGGGCTTGTTTTTGTAGGTCTTCCCCTCCCCCTTTCTCCTTTTGTTCTTTACTCTTGTGATTATCTTTAGTGTTGTTTGAATTGCTTTTTGTGTGTATATAGACTATATATCTAGATACGCTCAGATGCTTAGTCATGTCCAGCTCTTTGTGACTCCATGGGCTGTAGCCTGCCAGGCTCCTCGGTCCATGGGTTTCTCCTGGCAAGAATACTGGAGTGGGTTGCCGTTTCCTCCTCTAGGGGATCTTCCTGACTCAGGGATTGAAATTGTCTCTTATTTCTCCTGCATTGGCAGGATTCTTTACCACTAGTGCCACCTGGATCTATCTATCTATATATATAAGCAGTTAAAGGATATACAAAACAATTAGATGTAAAATATGATAGTGGAAACAGTAATCATTTTGTTTTGTGTATCATCTAATTACTTTATGTATCCCTTTAACTGCTTATTGTGGATCTTGATGATTTTGCTACTTTTGTCTTACTTCCCTAGTTTTGTTTGTGGATGATTTCTTACCTTTACTGTGTATTTGCTTTTAATGAAAAGCTTTTCATTTCATAACTTTGTTTCTAATTCTTTAACATTTGTTGTAAAATTGGTTTGTTGGTGCTAAAATTTTAGCTTTTTGCTTGTTTGTAAAGTTTCTGATCTCTCCAAATCTAGATGAGATCCTTTTTGGGTAGAGGTTGTAGGTTTTCCCCTTTGACCACTTTAAATATATCATGCCACTCCCTTCTGGCCTGCAGTTTCTTCTGTTGAAGTATCAACTGATAGCTTTATGGGAGTTCCTTTGTATGTTGTTTGTTGCTTTCCCCCTGCTGCTGTTAATATTCTTTTTAATTTTTGTCATTTCCAAAAATTTCTTTGATCTCTGAAATTGTAATCAAAACTATCAACATAAACCTCAAGCTAGTAGTCACCAAGGAAACAGTTATTAGCAAAACACTTGTAACAAATTTTAAATTGTCTCTGTTCACAGGATGGTGCTTTTCTCTTCCATTTTTTGTCTTTACAGCTCCTGCCCCAAACCAATGAAAAGCCAAAAGATGAAAAAATGACAGTGAGTATTTTTGAGCAGGTTCAGGTGTTAAGTGGGATTGGAGGATTGAAGGGGTGATGTTTCCTAGAAGGTCATCTAAAATCGCTTTTCTAACCTGAGAAGAACCGTTTCATCGTGACTTTTAATGTTCTATACACAAAACATATATAAGCCAATAGGTGAGTCATTTCCATTAGTTAAAAAAAATCCAAAAGATGGTTGCATTTATTGGTGCCTGTGACTCTTTGTGACCCTATGGACTGTAGCCTGCCAGCCTCCTCCGTCCATGGAATTCTTTAGGCAAGAATACTTGAGTGGGTTGCCATTTTTCCTCTAGTTAATATGCAATAATTTACTTCAAAACACTTTAACATATACTTTGTGATGTATGTGTGTATGTATGTTGTTGTTCAGTTGTTAAGTCGTGTCCAACTCTTTGTGACTCCATGGACCATACATAGCATGCCAGGCCTCCCTATCCCTCATTATCTCCTGGAGTTTGCTCAAGTTCATGTTCATTGAATCAGTGATGCTATCCATCCATTTCTTCTTCTGCTGTCCTCTTCTCCTTTTGCTTTCAATCATCAGGGTCTTTTCCAGTGAGTCAACTCCTCACATTAGGTGGCCAGAGTATTGGAGCTTCAGCACCAGTCCCTCCAATGAGTATTTAGGATTGATTTCCTTTAAGATTGACTGGTTTGATCTTCTTGCTGTCGAAGAGACTCTCAAGAGTATATATACATGTATATATAAGCTATATATGTTTAATCTTACCATGGGGGTAGGACAGATACGATTTGAAAGACCCCAATCTGGTGGCTTTAAACATTGCTGTCTAAATCTGTATCACTGTTAATCAGCAGAAAGGATGTACTAACTTTTCATTAGTTAATGGAGCTTGAAAGATCAGTGGTTGTCTAGAAAGGCTGAGAGGGAATATGCATGAGGTAAAAGAATATGGCAGATCCTGCAAGCTCAGGACTTTTAATTAGTACTGTAGGTGTAAGTTCTGGGGGTTCGCCTTCCCATAACCCACCCATTTAGGACTGTGCTTCCTGATTCAATCAGCTTACCTAATCCTGCCTTTAGAATATTACTGTGCTCCTACCTGCTGTGAGGCAAATCATAATCCCACAGACACCTTGATGGTTTTGAGAAGGAACTTACTGAAGCTTTCCAAAGGTCATTCTGTGAATTAATGTTTGTTCATGCGAAAGAACTGTTTTAGATTTGCTTTTATTAGAATATGCCACCAGGTAGTGAAGTTATGCCAGAGAAGGCAATGGCAACCCACTCCAGTATGCTCACCTGGAAAATCCCATGGACAGAGAAGCCTGGTAGGCTGCAGTTCATGGGGTTGTGAAGAGTTGGACACGACTGAGCGACTTCACTTTCACTTTCATGCATCAGAGAAGGAAATGGCACCCCACTCGAGTGTTCTTGCCTGGAGAATCCCAGGGACGGGGGAGCCTGGTGGGCTGCCGTCTATGGGGTCACACAGAGTTGGACACCACTGAAGCAACTTAGCAGCAGCAGCAGCAGGAGTGAAGTTATGCAAGAGGAAACATATAGCCTTACCGTCCAGTAAAGGTTTGTGGCTATCTACCAAATGAACATGTGACTGGTGACTAAAACAGACCACAGTGGTGTGGAAAACACCACACTTTTTTGTGGAAACAAAAAGCCCATGCACCTTCATGCCATGGAGAGGGTCATATTTGATCCCTGAGACCTTCCCTTAATGTAGTCCCTGCTGAGCACCTCTTTAAGATCAGTAAGTAGATATGTACTGATCTGAAGGGGCTGGAGAGAAAGCAATCCAATTGTTGTAAAGGCAGTGTGACTAACAAAATAAGAGTTAACAATTTTCTATTACTTCTAATTAAAACTTGATTACTTAGAGACTTTCAGTTTGCTAACGATTTTGTGCAAGTTAAATATAAATAAAAAAAGGAAAACCTAGCAAAAACTGAATTCCTGCTCTAAATTTTAAAGAAACCTATTCTGTATGCCTGTTCAGAGGAAGATGGTTGAGGTTAAGTGAAGAACAATTGGAAAACTCGAGAGTCAACCTAAGTACAGTTATAACATGAGAAAGTTAAAAGTAAAACTATGTCAAACACATTTTATTTGGTGTTTTCATGCTAGGTCAATCTAAACAACAACAACAAAGACCCAATTTGAACAGATTTTCTTTTAATATGACTATGTGTACATGGACAACTGAGAACAGGGAAAACCCCCAAATTAATGTTTTAACAAATTACAGCTGTTACTAAAGATGGTACGTTGGGATTTTAAGGAAAGTCCAATAAATGAACAGCCCCTCATTCAATCTAATTAACCAACCCCTCTTTTAATAAAAACACACTCTAGTGGCAGAAGTTTATCAGTTTTTAAAAATACTCCATAATAAAACATGTGTTTCCTCAATGTTTTCTCTCCTTCAGTATTTAGTTACTAACAGTCTCTCAAGTGATAAAATAAAATTGAATTTATATCATCAAATGAAAGTGCAAGTTTGTATAGCCAAGCTCAGCAGCAGAAGTGAAGGGTGAAAGCTGATGGATGTCACACAGAACAAGAACCTTCACGAAGGTGTCCTGCAGTGTCCTGGGTGCCAAACACAGTCAACAATTCCATCATTTTTTTCACTGCTCTTAAACGAGCAAAACCAAATTCTTTTTTTTTTTTTTTATTTAAAGAAATAGTAAATCTTTATTCCCTNCAACAATTCCATCATTTTTTTCACTGCTCTTAAACGAGCAAAACCAAATTCTTTTTTTTTTTTTATTTAAAGAAATAGTAAATCTTTATTCCCTCGCACATAATTTGAGATCCAGTAAGGCAAAGAAAAGTCCCACCATCACTGGGGACAGCAACAATAAACAGACTTCAGAAATAGCCCTGAATTATCAGCAACATTCTCTCATGGTAATATAAGGAATGCATCTCATAAATCAAATCTGCAATGTTATCACATTGTTCTAATTTATTTGATTAGTTTCTCTGAAAAACTTTATAAATACATTATTTAAGAGGACAGTAAATTATTTTCTTGCTCTAGAAAAAATAATTTTTTCACATTTTAAAACTCGAGTACGCTTTAGCAAAAAGATGCAAGAAGAATGGGACAGCGGGGTTTGCAGAATGTCCATGTACAAGTTGCATTTACAGGAACCTGGTAATCTGCCTCTACAAATAGAGCTCTTTGCAATAATATTTAAACAACAGGCTTAATTTAAACACCTCTCCTACTGACTCTACCTGTGGAACCAAGAGGTACTTATATTTTCAAGTATTATATTGTAAAAGGTAAAAATTTGTGTCAATTTTACATGTTAGCATTTAAAGACCAAAATATCTATGTGAAAAATCATGCCTACTCAGCCCATTTTTGATAGCCAAATGGTCTCATCTTTTAAAGAATGCAGAAAAATATTGATTTCCTAAGAAGGAGCACACTGGAAAAAGACATTTTAAAGTACTGAAGAACAAGGAGTTTTTTTTTTTTTCTCTACTGGCGAAAATTATTAGAAAAGCTTTCCAGTCTGTTGTCTTTAGCTAGTTTTAATAAAATCTTTTCAAAATGATGGTCAAGAAATCTTTAGAAAACTGGAGGAAGGGAAGATGCTCCTTTGTAGCATGGAAGGAATTCCATTAACTGTAGAAATTCTTTTTAAATTTCTGCTTTGGTTCTTCAGAAGAAATGCTCATATAACTTCTATATTAGGAGACAAGAAAGAACAGATTAATATGACATTTACCTAAAGTCTTAGAAAATACTACAGTAATATCTTATCAATATGTTCCTAAAACTTTACCATGCTTTTTATACACTGTCTTACATAAGAACAGGAAATTTTATAAGGATCCCTGGTCTTCTATCTAAGTGAATTCTACCACTAATAGGAAAGCACATGTCCTTTCTTTAACTTAGGCTATATATCATTTTCTTTTTCAAACTGTGTAAGTCAGTTTTACTTTGCTTTGAGATTAGAAACTTTACATTCATTGGTCTTCAATCCTCAGTACCTGATGCTTCAGGCTCCAGTCATATGTTGAAGCTGAAATAAATGATGGTTGATAAGTAGCCATGAACAAAAACAACCCCTAACACCACCTACTAATGCAGACGCTGGACTATGTTCCTAGAAAAGAGTGGGAAATGAAATGACAGGTAAATCATTAAATCACCTTTAAATCAAACGGTGATTTAAAACCTGGCAAATGAAACAGAAAGTCATCTGAACATTCCTTACATCTCTGTGAATCTCTGACATGACAAAGTAGGAAGATGTACCAGGAGTGTTTCCATCAACACATAGGTAATCAGATTGTTCTCAAAGGCTTAATTTAACAGAATGTCAGGTGTTAATAGCTTTCATTTACAGTGGACCTTCTTCCTTTCACAATCTAAAAAAGTAGATCACTAAAGCAAAGTTACAGGCCCAAAGTTAGAGGAGGAAAAAAAGACTAGCTTCATTTGCATAAAAATTCAACTTTGGCTTTTTCAACCAGTTTTAAACTGGAAAATGTTTGTTAGATCTAACATATTTAATATACTTATATCTAAAAATATTTGTTGTAATCTAATACAAAACAATTTGACCACAAGTAATGCTTTATCGACTCATCTAAACATCCTGAATTTGCCTGGCGCTGTTCACGACAGTATAGAGATGCTGGTCAATATGTGAAAGTGAGGTGCTGGGAGAGACAGAAGTTGATAGAATTCGAAGAGGTTTGAAAAGAGATGAAGCTGGATTATCCAATTTGTTCTTGAGCCTGATGAGATTGTGCTGTTGAGTCACTAGGAGCACTGAGCTGGCAATTTTTTATGTTGTTATTTCTCTGGGTCCTATAAAGGTGGTGGTCTTTTTTGCACAGGGACTTCAGCTTAAGTGTAAGTCCCAGAGGGTCTGAGAGAGTCAACGGCTGCAGTCACTCAACTAGGAATGGAAGGCCCCTGGGCTCAGTATACTCCTATACTGGTCCTGGTCCCTAAATTGTTATCTTATTACACGTAAAAAGGACAATAGTGTATTATCCCAGGTTGCTGTGCCAAACAAGAGAGAAATCACGGGAGAACATGCTTAAAGTGAAAAAAGTGACTGTGTTAGTTGCTCAGTCGTGTCCAACTTTTTGCGACCCTATCGATTGCAGCCCGCCAGGCTCCTCTGTCCATGGGGTTCTCCAGGCAAGAAAACAGGAGTGGGTAGCCATTCCCTTCTCCAGGGGATCTTCCCGACCCAGGGACTGAATCCGTGTCTCCTGCATTGCAGGGGGATTCTTTACCATCTGAGCCACATGTTGGCAGTCTTCAAATATCTTTAGAACTGAGAAAGATGGAACAGAAACCAAACAAACCTTGTCTCCAGTGGACAGAACTTGGTTCAGTGGCCACTCAGTTATGGTTAAGTTTTTCTTACTGTGAAGCGTGTTCTGACCAGCAGTGTCTCTGAGCAATGAATGTTGCTCTGTGATGGGAGCACAGATACCCACAGGTGCTACAGACTGAATTTCTACCCTGAGTGGGAGGAAAGGAGGGGCCCTAGAAGTTGCCCAACACGACTCAATATTCAGTTTCTATGACCCATGCAGTCTTTTCCATGAGGCATATCTGGTCCCTTGAAGGACAAAGCGTGCCAAAGTCACACAGCAGAAGGTTCACTCCCTCTTAAGTGTTAGTCATTCAGTCGTGTCTGACTCTTCGCGATTCCACAGCCCACAGCCCACCAGGCTCCTCCGTCCATGGATTCTTCAGGGAAGAATACTGGGGTGGGTTGCCATTCCCTTCTCCTTCCCTCTTTGGTGTCACCTATTTCTGACATTTACTGAAGGAAGTTTGAGGCAAGCTTACCTGCTGTCTGTTGTGTCTGAACACCGTCTACCTGAGGCAGGGGCCCGAGTGTCCCTTCATCGTCAAAGGCCAAAATTGGATTCAAAGGAATATCTGGATTCTCACTGTTGGTGACATCTAGTCTGGATGGTTTAGATCCAATGGGTAAGTTTATAATTTCTTCAAAATTTTCATTCTGAACTGATATTCCATTTTCACTTGGTTGTTTTTCCAAACTGGGAGTACTAGGGAGTTGGAAAAATCAAAATTAAAGGAGTTAGTGTTAAAACTGGAAAAGATTTTTAGGACAACCCAAAACTTTTATAATAAATCAGAATGATATCATTTTTAATGAAAATGGTGAGTTCCAACCTATTTATACTTTAAGTTTAAAAACAGATTTTTAAAAAATAATCAAATGGAGCAATTTATCAATTAGAATAGATCATTATCAATAATTCTACATACATTTAACAATTTCTACTGCAGGCATTTTACATCCCTTTGTCTGATAAAAATAGCCCTTATTAGTATCTTTACTTCAAGGATGCTGCTGCTAAGTCACTTCAGTCGTGTCTGACTCTGTGCAACCCCACAGACGGCAGCCCACCAGGCTCCCCCGTCCCTGAGATTCTCCAGGCAAGAACACTGGAGTGGGTTGCCATTTCCTTCTCCAATACATGAAAGTGAAAAGTGAAAGTGAAGTCGCTCAGTCGTGTCCGACTCTTAGTGACCCCATGGACTGCAGCCCACCAGGCTCCTCCATCCACAGGATTCTCCAGGCAAGAGTACTGGAGTGGGGTGTCATTGCCTTCTTCAACTTCAAGGATGAGGGGATTATAACTTGGGGGTGAGGGGAATAATTTGCACAAGTTGCACAAGTACTGAGAGACAGTCTGCATTCCAGACTGGCTACATGATTTCTGGTCCTGTGTTTTTCTCTTAATGCTGTTTTGTACATTGCCTGGCTATTCAAATTCTTTCTGGCTATCTCCAGCTTCCTAAAACATGAACATAATTGTATAGGCTAATTGTTCTAGATCAACCTTCTCATCTTTGCCCCTTAACTCTCCTCTGACCCTACCTCGATTCTTATCAATTCATGCTTAATATCTAGGATTTTTGAGATACATTCAATTGGCCGTGAAATCCTTAAGTTTTTACCTGTAATTCCTTTTAGGTTTTTTGATCCCTCTACACACTGCACAACCAAATCAGTGGCCTTTTTTAGGTTATATGTTCATTATTATGCTTTACAATGTGATAAAACAATGCCTGTGCATTGAATGGAAGCTAGATGAATTTTACTGTTGATTTTACCTGACTGCAGCAGTAAACATATTTGTAAGCTTCATGATTTGTTCAGTGCTCATAAGAAAATGACCCTGCTTGACAAGAGTTAGTCTTCAAATGGAAAATGAGGCAAAAATTGTGAATGTTTTAACTTTTAATATACACTGATCATTAACTGAATGTTTAGCTATAGACAGGTCTGTGGAAGAGATCAGAAAATCAGGTCTCTATCAGTAATGCCAGCAACTTGAACTTTAGCAAGTTAGTCTTTTTTCCATCTCCTTCCCAAATGATGAAAATGAAGCTAATATACATCCAATCTTTCCACTGTCCCCCTCCCTCTCACTTTTTTTTTTTGAGGAATCTTTGCTTCTCTGCCCCTGTATTGAGGATATAGTTTACTTTCCTCAGTCAGTGAGATATATTGACTTCGTGGAACATATTCTAAAGCATTCTGATTTGGATATTTTGGTACATTTTTTGTTAACTATTAAACCTCTTCTTTTAGGAGACAAATAAAGATGCCTGACCTAACTGCATCACAAGGCATTGCAGGGTACAGTGAAAATATTTGTAGAGTGCTGTGGAAAAGAACATAAAATTATTATACAGATTCAGACTATGACAGCATGGTGCTTTCTCACTATTGTACCATGGAACTGAGAGGAAGCTTGGCATCACAGTCTACATGAATGTGCATGTACGCACACACCCCAAATGCCTGCCATCCTATTCTTTCCCAACACGAGTGGGCTTTCTGTAAGCAGGGAGAGTTTCGGTTCTCATCCCACAGAGATTTTTAAGTGGAAGTTTTGGCAAAAGAAGAATACATCTTCAAAGACCTTGTTCTGTGACGATGTCAACCTGTCACCTTCCAGGCCTGCGTGTGCTGACAGGTTATAATGGCAACACCAACCCCAGGTTTGACTCAACAGCTGACTTCATTTTCCCCTTCCACTACTACCCAACCACTCCACCCAGTCAATTCTCTTATGGTATCTAAAGCTGGCATTAGAGACAGAACTTTTTTCATGTTTGAGGGAGCGCTGTTAAAATCCTGTCAATATAAATGCAAGGGAAGAGAAAGGCAATCTTCTGTCAACCCACACTTCTTAACTATTGTTAGCGACCATTTGTTTCCTCGTAGGAAGTCCTACTACTGGCATAAGAAATACTGGCATCTAAATTATTTTTACTAAGGAACAAACCTGTGATTCACAGCTGTTATATATCATCAAAGTGTATGAAGATGGTCTAGGATCATGCCAAAGATATATAAAGGAAAGTAACAAATCATTCCCTATAATTTGATTAAATAGCCACACAAAAACCTCACCATCATATTTAGCAGTTCAAGAAAAGACATTTTCCTTTTCTCAGATTACAAAATTACTACCTCTAACCAAAATAATGAACCTAAATATAATAAATCTGCATGTTAAAACTCTGAAATTCTGTCTGGCCCCAGAAAATTCTGGTGGGATTTGGCGGAGCCAAGGGTGGGGGGGTGGGATGGTTAGACAAAAACTGTCATGCTTTGCTCTAACGTGCTAAGAAAAGCCCCAGTTGTCTAACTCACCTGTCCACAGTCACTTTTGATTGTTGAGAGGTAACCACATGGGTGCTGGCCTCTAGCTCCTCCGATCCTGGAGAGTCTGTCATATTTGGAAGTGTAGATACTGCTGGACATAGCAAAGATGATAGGGTAAAGGGTTACTACTACTCGACTATCAAACCCAAAGCCCAGCAGAATGCTTAGATTTATGTCCTGGCTCTGCCACTCACTAGCTGTGTGACTTTGGGCAAGCCGTAAATGTGCTGTGCCTTGGTTTCCTCGTGGCTAACAGTGCCTACCTCATAGGCGACTGTGAGAAGTGAATGTACTTAGAACACTGCATGGAACATTGTAAGGGTGGAAATTAGGGCTGCTATTATTTTTGCCTGCACCCAATTGATTTTGGGCAAAATATGTAATATTGAAATCATAGCAATTGATGAAGACAGTAGTATGTTGACTTGGCCAAGCTGATGCTAAACAAATGATTACTGAAGGCTTAGGAGCAAATAATCATGAAACACCCTAAGTGGTGACAAGTGGTTTTACCCTATTTGGTAAAACTCAGTTTAGTTCCAGTCACATTTAAGAATGGTGTGGATTTCACACACGGAGGGCCAGGGAATTATACCTAACCATGCTACCTAGTCATTCAGTGCTCCCTGCTGGAGTCTAGCGTAAGCCAACAGTATTGATAAGTGACTTTAAAATCTGGGCCAGGTTTATATAAAGTCTTATAAAACTTATGTATTATGTAGGTCATCGTTTCAGGGACCTTTGTGGCAGTTTATGGTTTCAGCTTGATGTCAGAGAATAAGTGAAATAGTTCCAAAGTGTTATTTCACAACCTAGTACAAACTGAATAAAATACTGCCAGATGTACACAGAACTTAGTAACTGAAGCAAAGAAGAGATTGATAACTTAAAAGCTGTCAAAATTTGCAAAGTTGGTAACATAGCTTCTGAGAAGACTTCTGATAGGTCTGCAAATTCACCTGCTGGCCTAGCCTACCATTTAGCCCTCAACCACATGAGAGACTGGGAGGAGAGGAACATGTGTTAGATAATCCTCAGGCCTCTTTCTAGCAGTATTAAATCAAACTGATTATTAGTGATGATAAACACAGGTATGATGACTGACAAGTTTCACTTTGCCTCTCACCATTGTTTGTTCCAGAAGTGAGGTAAAAACAATATCAAAAGAATTGATAGGAAAATAGCAGAAAGAAGAAAGATTGGGGGGAAAAAAAACAAAACACTAGGAGCTGTTTGTTTGGCTCTGCACAATCTACAGCATCAGCTCCTCAAATAATCCTGAGTTGGTACAATTTATGCCCTAAAATGCGCATTCTGATCACTCACTGGGTGCCACACCTGCTTCAAGCCTGCATCTATTACAACATTCCTGGAGACAACCTGTTAAAAATACAGTGGGGTTAACAGGCAACCATTAAGGCTGTTTTCCAAACAAATATAATTAGGGCATCTTTAAAAAAGAATGGGGCCTTCCCTGGTGGTCCAGTGACTGGGAGACTCCATGCTCCTAAGGCAGGGGGCCTGGGTTCAATTTCTGGTCAGGGAATGAGATCTCACACGATGCAACTGGGAATTCAAATACTGCAACTAAAGATCCTGCCAATACAACTAAGACCTGGTGCAGCCAAACAAATATTTAAAAATAAAGAAAGCATGAAAACACCATTAAGAAAGGATCATGACCTAAAGGACCTAGGAAAGCCTCTACTGAAGTAAAACCAAATCCCTAAACCCCAAATTTCACATTTGAAAATCCCTAGAGTTTATAGAGAATGTTCTTTCATGTAAATCATTTCATTTGTCTTAAAAAAAAAAAAAAAAAACAGCAAAAGAAACTGAGGTATCTCTGGTCCTTCCTCTTCATATTGACATTGCAGATGATGAAAGAAGAAAACTGAATAATGTACTATTGACCAACCACCCTTCTATAAAATCGTGAAGTTTTATTTTTATTTACATCAAATTTGATTTAAAATCATGAAGAAATTAATCATCTCTGGCCAAAGCCTATGGCATATAAACAATTTTCTTTTTTTTATGAACAATTTTCTAATGAAATTTCAACAATTTTCAAATTTTAACTGTCTTCTGAAGTCAGAACTTAAATAACATTTAAATCCTTTTCTGAGAACTGCTGTAAGTACAAAAAGTTTAATGTCCTTAATAGTAAATATAAATACAGGTTCCTTTAGCGAATGGTGACAGTGTTAGTCCTATAATCGTGTCTGACTCTTTGTGACCCCATGGGCTGTAGCCCACAAGGCTCCTCTGTCCATGGAATTCTCCAGGTGAGACTACTGGAGTAGGTTGCTATTTCCTTCTCTAGGGGATCTTTCTGACCAAGGGATCAAGTCCGGGTCTCCAAGTGATATTTAACTGTATATTCAAAGAAAATTAATTTTAATGTGTGTATATATTGGAGAAAGAAATGGCAACCCACTCCAGTATTTTTGCCTGGAAAATCCCATGACAGAGGAGCCTGGTGGGTTATAGGCCATGGGGTCACAAGAGTTGCATGTGACTTAGCGACTAAACCATCCACCACTATACTACCTATAAAGGCATATATATCAGATATGGACACAAAAATATATACATATCGAAGAAGTATATGATGTAAAATGACTTAAGATATCAAACACTCCATTAGAGTATAACCAAATGTGGAAAAAAATCTGCTAGAAATGCTAGAGATTTTTAGGTAAAGGGGATTTATTTGTAGATTAGATGAGATACACCTAAGCTTCTGTGAATGTGTGAGTTTATTTTTAAATCAATGCTTTTTAAAATCATTTATTTTTAAATCAATGCTTATCTTGACCTCTAGAGTCAATTCAAAAATTCTGCATTTGAATTGAGTTCACTGAAATACATACCTGTTTCTCCAGAGGGAGTTCCCTTGGTTATATCTCCATTTCTCTGATCAACAGTTTTCTAGCCAAGAAAAAAGACTTTTTAATGTTAAAATTACAAGTTAAAAAAAAGCCATTAAGAATAGTTTTTAAAATGGCCATCTGAATACCTTATCTGAAGCTTCTGTTCTTCTGGTTCTTTTCATAATCTCCTCAAGTCGCTACAAGAAAAGGAAGAACTGAGCAAACAGATCCGATAAAGGAAGAAAACTAGCCTGGTGCATTTCACTGACTAAGCAAATGCAGAGCATTGAAACATGTCTACTATTTTGGGAAAATACTGTCTTTGTCTTAACTGGAGTTATGAAGTTAATAGTAAAGAACCTGCCTGCCAATGCAGGAGACATAAGAGACACAGGTTCAGTCCCTGATTTGGGAAGATCCCCTGGAGGAGGAAATGGTACCCACTCCAGCCTGGAGAATCCTGTGGGCAGAGGAGCTTGGAGGTTTTCGGTCCTTAGGGTCGCAAAGAGTCGGACCCAACAACTTCGTAGAGTGCACACACAAAAGCGTTGGAACTGGCTCAGGCCACAGGAAGGAAGTGACTCTCTTTGGTGAGGACTGAAACACCAAGACCGATTTCTTTGGAGGAGAGTATTAATACTGAGAGCTATTTTAGAGAACCTAGAATGGGCAAGACACATTGAGTGTCCCAAATACCTTCTTCCTCTCCAGGCGCTCTTGCTCTTCTCTCTGGAAATGCTTCTCCCGCTCCTGCCGGACCCTCTCTGCTTCTTCCCGAACACGAGCTTCTTCTTCCTTCTGAAAATGAGAAGTCGGCGTCGGCTTCGTAGGGAGAAGCTGGCTTTGCCCGCTGCCCCGAAATGCCGGGGCACAGGATGCAAGGACTAGGATGGAGCGCAGGAGTCAGGGCGGTCCTCACCACAGGCTGGACACCTTGCTCCGCTCCTCTGCGCTGCCCCTCGCGCGGTCCTGAGCCAGGGCTGCGCCGCCGACCCGCTGCCCAGCCCGGGCCGGACCCCAATACCTGTTTCCGGATGCGCTCCATCTCCTCCCGCTCGCGCCGGGCCCGCTCCTCCTCCTGCCGCCGCAGCTGCTCTTCCCGCTCCCGGGCTAGCTCAGCTTCCAGCTGGCGGGCCTCCTCCTCTCGGCGGCTCCTCTCTTCAGCTACCTTCTGGGCCAGTTCTTCTCGCTTTTGTCTGGAAAAAAGACCAACCAAGACAAAGAAACATGAGGGGAGTTCCTTGGCGAGGCTGGAGCTGTGGTTATCTCAAGGACGGTTTGTTGGGAGGTCTCCCACAGTCTCCACTTGGATACATGTGAGGCCAGTCACTCTCCTCCACCTCTTATTGCCTCCTGGGAAGTCCAAGCAAAATGTAACCACTCATATTCTGAGGGCAGCTTGTGTTTTTAAGGATCTGCAATGTAACTATCTTTAGAGGCTCAGACTTGTTTAATCCAATAATGTTAACTTTTTAGTAAAGAATTTAACAGTCCCCTCCCAGTCTCCGTAAATAAATATAAGCTGTAACGTTCTGCGGCAGGAAGGGGTAAGATGGACCGTGTAAGCTCCCTTTTGGGACCAAGGGTAGGGCATGTCCAAGACGGTGGCCCAGCATGCTTTCCTGAGAAGCAGTTCTGCTTATTTGAAGAACAATTATATTAATGTTAGGTAGTTAGAAAACAGGAGTCCAAAATGGTGAGGGCTAAAAGACAAGGAAGGGAAAAGCCTGCGAAAATAGAACAAAGGAAGATCCGGGGGCTCTCTCTCTCTCTCTCCCCTCATCCCTCCCGGAGCTGCGGTGCTCTTCTCTTCACGTCTTTGGGTCGACATGCCCTCATGCCTCAAAGATGGATTTTTCTGCTTTATCTAAATAAAATAGAGCTGTAACACTGATTTGTCTAAGAGCTATAACTCAGTCTGTTCAAGACCTGAGAACTATAACATGGTCTGTCCAAGACCTGAGAGCTGTGACGTGCCAAGGGCTTTAATGTCCGTCACTCCAAATCTTTGGTGTGACGAGAGAAGAACCGAGGAGCATAAACTCGCCTGACGTTAACATTAGCCTTATTCACTCCAGAAGGAGGCCAACTAAGCAAAGTGCCCCTGGCGTACTGTTTGACAGGCAGTCATGGGGCATTTTATCTCCCAGCAGCTACCCTATGAGAGGAATTCTATCTGGAAAGAAGAAAACATGAACTTCTATTACACAGCTTTAAAATAATAAGATAATGAGGAAACATGGAGATGAGCGAGATGTTAGATTAAAAGAAAACCTCAGACTGTACAACTGTACCTCTACGGTGGTTACAATCATGAAAATATGTGTGTCTGTATATAGGCATGTGTATACACCCACACACTGTTCAGAGACTGGAAAGGGTGAATCAAAATGTGCACACTTTTTGAAATCTGGTAGGATGATGCATGATTTTTTCTTCAAACCTTTCTCCATCAGTTTTGTTGTACTGTCATTATAAAAAGAAAATGTGACTTAAAAAGTTGCTTAGTCATCAGAGGAACAGCAGGTGAGAGTAATTCTGTAACAACTTATTTAGATTCACCTTCAACACTACTACCACTTCTGACTGAAGACTTAATCTAAGGTGTCTCGAGGGTGTCCCGAGCAGTGTCCCTCGGTTACCTTTCGCGCTCTTCCTTCTCCCTCTTCTCTCTCTCCTCCTTCTCTCTCTGCTCTCGGGCCAGCCGCCTCTTCTCAGCCAGCAGCCTCGTGGCCTCTTCTGGGTCGGTGGTCCCCGCAGAGGTTTTCGGAGAGGCACCGGCAGTCAGAGTGGACGGCGGGGCTGGTGTCGGGGCTGGGGCGGAGGCTGGGGCCAGAGCTGGGGCTGCGGCTGCCGCCGGAGCAGCTGTACAAACAGGTACAAGGAGAAAGCCAATTGGAAACAAAAGCCAAAGAACAAAACAAAAACTAGCATCCCCCAGACCCCAGGCCTAGAATTCATCATGATCAAAGAAACGGGAATGTTTATTACGGAGCGTTCTCAGGGTTTCACCGTATTCTATCTGTAACCGGGCAACAGGTAACAAAAAGCTTCATGTGCGAGTGAGACATCCAAAGCTGACACTGTCACTGAGTCTTATTTTTACGCAGTTAAATCAGTTAACAACACATATCAAACGTGTACTGAATATAGAGCCTCACATTAGGTTCTGTAGGAAGTTATAACCCTAACAAAAAAAGGAAGATGAGAGCTCCGATTTGCCTTTCATTATGTTACAAAAAAAAAAAAAAAATTCCTTCTCTTAAGTGACTATTTATCATTAGAGGACTAAAGCCTTTCTATGACCACAGCCAGTGTCCCTACTACAAGCCCAGGTTCAGGCTGGGAAGACGACAGTCAAGAGATCCCTTCCAACTAATAAAAATAAATGGGAAAAAAAAGAGATCCCTTCGGTCCACCCGGCATTGTCTCCAGGCCCTAGAAGGAATGAGCCGGCATCCGTGCTCCTTAGACACAGCAGGTCTTCACTGCCAATCCTGATGCGAACATGCAAGACTAGAGCAGTTCTCTGACCTTGCCTGGATTCAGAGAAAGGGTTGCCACAAGGAACCCTCCCAACCCCCAACCCCAGGCACCATGGTGAGATGCACCTGACCACTCCAGACCCTCCTTTCAAGACTTACATTTCTCCTGCTCCCACAAGTTTTTTCTTTGCCCTCAGGACATTTTTTTTGGCCTCTCTCTTCTCCCAGTTTACACGTAAACAGATACTGGACTCTCCCATTCCCTTAACAACATTATCATTTGTCTTGAGTCATCTATTCTTTCTCTGCCCTCACCCTCTATCTTCAAATTAAGTTTCAAAGAGAAAACTTTTGGATGAAGACAGTTTTCAACAAGATGTACTGAATTTCTAGTTCCAGGTGATTTTTAAACTTCTAGACAGCATCTGGTTAGTCTGGTAGAGATGAGATCCACTGGGTCTTCTGGAAAAAGTTCTGACCTCTGTCAGTCACACAGGCTAATAAGCCAGTGGTGCTCAAACTACAGTACATGTAGGATGTGAAGTATAAGTGAAGTGTTAGTTGCTCAGTCATGTCTGACTCTTTGCAACCCCATGGACTATAGTCCACAAGGCTCCTCTGTCCATGAGGTTCTCCAGGCAAGAATACTGGAGTGGGTAGCCATTCCCTTCTCTAGGGGATCTTCCTGACCCAGGGATCGAATCTGGGTCTCCCATATTGCAGGCAGATTCTTTACTGTCTGAGCTACCAGGGAAGCCCCCACACAGGATAACTGCCACTGTTTTATCTGGCAATCCTGCACAGGAGTCAGACGAGCTTAGTATCAGAGTCCATGGATCCACAACATATCCTGTTTCAACTGCTCTGAGGTAGGGGCAGGGTTCTATAGTATGAAACATTATAGATGTGGTTGAAAAATATTTCCATAATTTTTTTTTGAAAATCCTCCCTCTAAAAGGTAGAGACTAATCCCCTCCAGTTGAGTGTGCGTTGAAGCTAGTGACCTGCTTCTAATGAACTGTGTGATGGAAATCGTGACTTCTGTGTTTGTGAGATTTCTGAGATTAGGCATGAAAGATACTGTGGGCTTCTTGTGTTTCCCCCAGGTCACTCAGCTGGGGAAAACCAACAGAGCAAGCAGACAGACTGTGTGGCCATCAGATAACCCTATGGCGAGGTCTATGTGTCAGGAAAGGACGGCCACTTGCCGACAGCCCTGTGTGTGAGTCATCCTCTAACAACTCAGCCAAGCTGCTCTCAAATTCCTCTCCCAAGACCCTGCGTGATACAGTAACTGTCAGTTGTTATAAACTACAAAGCTTTGGGATAATTTGTTACACAGCAATAGATAAATGATTCTGATGCAGGTGCTCTGAATACCACATTTTATCAAATTATTGGACTCAGCCAATGAAAGGAATCCTAAACCATACCTGAAACAAATATGCTGTGGCTCTAACAATAGGCTGTTGGATGGATGATTCCTTCTTTATATGTAAGAAAATTATACTTAAGGAAAGGTCCCCAAATTAGTCTCAGGGTAAAATTTCCAAGTGCCCAAAAAGGGAGCAAAGAAGGGAGGGAAGGAAGAAAGGAAGAGAGGAAGGAGGACGGGCCAAGGAAAAGCAGTGCAGGAAACAGAAGGGTGCAAGCAGCCGCCGGGGCCCCGCCGGTCAGTGGCTTCCTACCGGGGGCAGCCTCTGCTTCGACTGCTGTCGCCTCTTCAACTGTGGCCTCTTCTACCTTCACCAAAGGTGTTCTGCCCTTAAGGGACGGCTCACTGGAAACTTTCGGAGGCTCCTTCTCAGGGTCTTTTCTCTCAGGTTCCACTCTGACTTCTCTCTTGACAGGGCGGATGTTGCCGGGGGAGGGGGGCCGGACCTGAGCAGGGGCAGCTTTGACTGGTCCAGGAGGCGTGGAGGGTGCTGGTCTGGGGGTGCCGGGCAGATGGGGAAAGGACTTGGATGGGAGCCTGGGCAACAGACAGAGAGAAGAGGGAACGTGAGAACAGGCTCGCCAGAACCCACCTTTCTCCACATCTCTACCATGTAATAGTCTTGGAATACCAACACCAAGAGAAATGAAGGTATTTAGCTGTGTGAACATGTCTCTTACATGGCGAACACAGGAGTATTTGCTTTAGAGGCTCATTCCAGGTTTCTTTTTTCTTTCCTCTGAGGAAAAATGTTACTCCCTAAGAGAAGGCTAAACAGTGTGGGGAGAACAGTTTCTTTTCAGAGGACAGACACTACTAGTTATCCAACATGGAACAACACTGCCAGGCTCTTATATTTCACTTACCAAAGTCGGGAGGAAGCTGATGATCTGGCTTTGGGATGAGATGGAGACAGAGACCTTTGGCTGCCGGATGTGAGGTGGAAGGGTACATTCTCTCTCTCCCTCTCTCTTTTATAGCCCTAAGTTCAGAGAAACACAATAATTAGATTTTTCCACAAGCGGAACAATCACATTCATAGTATTCAACAGTGAAGCTGTAATCCACTGAATGACTTGGAAAATTTCCAGCCTTTGCCATGTATATCCATTCCGCCCCAACAAAAGGCCTTTATTAGGTTAAAACTGAACCTTATAATTGAATCAACACAATCTGACACTAATAAGAAGGTTCTGGGAGTGTGATCTGGATATGTATTTGTAAAAAACAAAGCAAAAACACACTTTTAGAAAGCATCTATGCTTTCCATCTAAAACTGCCTGGACCAAAATCTCTCATAGTCTGGTTTAGCCCACACAAATGTCAAAATAAAGGTCACTTCCAACTTATCCTCCCTACACCTTTGTCTCTTTTAATTCTTTAGCATTTTTCTTTTTTTCACCTTGGAACACACCACTGTTCAGTCTTTCTTTTTTTTTAATTTACATGTCTGCTACATCAGACATTAATTTTTTTCTTTATATTAATGTTATACAAACAAGTCCATCCTTACCTGGTGCCCTCTTGCCCTTGAAGGAAAAGTCAGACTCAAGGTGAGGAAATTTAGCTATTTTTGGCCTTCTTCTTTAGGGATGAAATGGGAACCTGACAGTGGGCTGAAATACGAGTCCTCCTCTGACTGAACACTAGGAATTAGCCAGAGAAATGACACCTTTCCTAGGCTGAAATGGGCAAAAGGAAACCCAGAAGTGTTCTGATAAAGTCAGCCAAGATAAAAAACAAACAAGGAACACAGCAAGAGAGACTCATTCCAAGTGTCTGAAACAGGGCTGACAGTGTTCTGCGAGGGCAATGCATGCTTGCTGGAGACACCTGTGTGGATGTCTAGCAGTCCTTCACTCAGTGGGATCCTTGCAGGAACTCAGACTGAGGGTGTTAGGGAAGAGACAGAACATCATCTAGCTTCAGGGTACATTCTTTTCTCTCCTTCCTGCCTGGCTTAAGCATCACCTACCTTCTCCATGCCCCCACCACCGCCCCCCTGCCCCTAACTTGTTCCCTTCAGCATTTCTTCTAACTGCTTCTCTTTTCCTTAGTAGCATCCTAACTGATGGCCTGGATTATAGGTGGGGGAAAACAGCTCACTGTCAAATAATACTCAACATTTCCCCAGAATTTTAAATAAAACAAATGAAGGATGGGGCAGGAAAGAGCTTCACAGGGCATGTGCCCCCTCTGTATCACTTGCAGCTGCATGACTGCCTTCTGTCCCCATCTCTGGTACCAGAAAGCAGGAGGCAGAGTCTCGGAGAACAGCTGCATTCCTTGGGGAGCTGAAGCAGTAGCCACCATATGGAGCCCTCTTTGCAAGTGTATAGGGTGGCAATTATGCTTCCCTTCCCAAGGGAGGTTGGGGTTAAGTAGTTGAATTGCTTTTCTCTTTCTCAAAACATTTTAATGTGGTTAAAGTCACAAATGTCTTCCAAATGTCTTTCTGTTGGTCTTAGACTCAGTCACTTATTTGAGTTCCACACATGTGAAGGTGCTCCTAATTCTTATCCTGATCTGAGTTAATAGCCAGTGGTTTGTATAATAATCTTTCCTGTTAACACTTTCCACAAGACTAAGGTGGAAACACACACAGCAAGCTGCCTGTGTCAATGGTATGGACAATTTACCAGCAGGACAAAGACTTTAATTTTACAGTTAGAGTTAGGTTTAGAATACAAATAACCTACAAGAGAGACAATATAAGCAGGTATTCCAAGGTAGCACTGTACAAAAGAATTGGGATGATAGTAATATTCTGCATCTACACTGAATAAAATGGCAGCCACTAGCCACATTTGGCTATTTGAATTTGGACCTAAATTAATTAAAATTTAATGTTAACTTCAGTCTCACAAATGTATTTCAAGTGCTCAAGAGCAGTCAGTTGAATTTAGATAAACCAAATAAAATTTAAAAGACAATTAGCAAAACAATACCATTTACAACAGCATCAAAAAAAGAATATGTAGGAATAAACTGAACCTAGGACATGGAAGATATCTATGGTAAAAACTAGAAGGAACTGCTGAAACAAATTAAAGAAGATGCAACATAAATGGGAAAACCTCTTATGTTCATAGGCTAGAAGATTTGTTATTGCTAATATATCACTACTACCCAAAGCAATCTATAGAATCAATACACTATCAAAAGGCCACATCATTTTTTTTTGGGGGGGGGGCAGGAATAGAAAACTCTATCGTAAATTCATGTAGAATCTCAAGGGACCCTGAATAGACAAAACAGTCGAAAAAAGAACAAAATTGGAAGTCACACTTTCTGGTTTTAGAACATATTACAAAGCAATGGTAATTAAAACAATATGGTACTGGCATAAAAACAGACTTACAGACCAATGGGACAGAACAGACCACCAAAAATAAACCCTTGAGTATATGGTCAAAGAAGCCTTGACAAAGGTGCCAAGACCATGTAATGGGGAAAAGATAGTCTATTCAGCAAACAGTGCTGGGAAAACTACATATCAACATGCAAAACAATGTAGTTGAAACCTTACCTTACACCACATACCTTATACCATATACAAAAATGAACTTAAAATGCTTAGAAAACCTAAATGCTAAGACTTCAAACTATAAAATTCCCAGAAAAAAAAAAAGTGGGGAGAGTCCTAATATTGGATTTGGTAATAATTTCTTAGATATGACACCGAAAGCACATGCAGCAACAACAAAAAAAATTAAAAAATGGGACTACAAACTTAAAACCTGCATCAAAGGATACAGTCAACAGAGTAAGAAGGCGACCTTAAAGAATGAGAGAAAATATTTGCAAATCATACATCTGATAAGGAATATCCATAATATATAAAAACTCCAATAAAAATTAAAAAGATTAAAAAACTAAAAATTAAGATTAAAAATATGGGCAAGGGACTTGATTGGAGTTTTCTCCAAAGACGAGATACAGATGGCCAACAAGCATATAGAAAGATGCTCACTATCACTGACTATTAGAGAAATGCAAATCGAAACCATAATGAGATCATCTCACACTCCTTAGGCTACTATTTAAAAAGCAAAACAAATATTGCTGATGATGTGAAAAAGTGGAAGATCTTGTACCTTGTTGGTTACAATGTAAATAAATGGTATTGTCATTATGAAAAACAGTATAGCAGTTACTTAAAAAAGTAAAAACAGAATTACCATAATATCCAACAATCAGGTACATATTCAAAAGAACCGAAGGCAGGATCTCAAAGAGATATCTGTATACCCATGTTCATAGCCATGCTGTTCACAATATCCAAAAGGAAGAAGCAACTGAAATGTCCATCAACAGGTGAACAGATTAACAAAATGTGGTGTGTCAATACATATGTGTGTGCATGCACATACACAATGGAGTGTTACTAGTCTTAAAAAGAATGGAAATCCTGTCACATGCTACAATATGGAAGGACAGACTTAAGTGCTAAGTGCAAGCAGTCAGTCACAAAAGACAAATGCAGTATGGTTTCATTCATGTGAGGCATCTGGGGCAATCAAATTCATAGGAGCAGAAAGTAAAACGGTGCCCGCCAGAAGCTGAGGGCTAAGGAAATCGCAAGTTACTGCTTGGTGGGTACAGTTTCAGTTTTGCAAGATTTAAAAAGCTCTGGAGATTGGTTGCATAACGAGGTAAATACACTTAACACTTTTGAACTGTGCACTTAAAAACAACTGAGAAGGTAAATTTTGCTTTTTGTCACAATTAAAAATTGTTTAAAAGATAAATTTCAAATTTGATCTGTCAGTCTCATTAGTCACATTTTCAAGTGCTTGGTTGACTTCTGCAGTGCAGCTCTGGAATATAAATTATGTGAGTTGTTTTCTGACAGTAAGTATTTGCCTAAATATTTAATTGTAAAGAAATGAAAAGGTAGCCGATAGATCAAATACAGAAAGAAAGAGGCACGGAAAAGACAAAAGAAAACCGGTGAGAAAACACAGGCTGTGGATCAAGTGATGACAAATCCCTCTCATTTAATCTGTTGGAGGATTGGCTCTCACACTTTCCTCCTGGTGTGTTCATTTTCCTTTTAATCTCTAAAAAGATATTTTTCCTTTGGTAAACACTTTTCCCTACCCAGTAAGTATCCCGTGTTCAGGGCCAAAGCTGTTCTGCTTGACTATTGCTATTTAGCCACAGCTAGGCTTTCTGAAGCACCAACATGCTAATGATGGTAAACTTCCCAGACTTCAAAGGTAGTTTCACTTCTGGCTTCAAGGGCTGGAGGTTTGACTCAATCATGAATTAAATGTCGATTCCCGAAAGCTTGAGGGGCATGAAAGAAAACTGCCTATAGGCAAAGCCATCAACCTCTCACAACTCTTGAATTATCCTCAAAGGTCTAAGCAAAATCCTTTTAAGTGTCCATCACCTTTATACATTTGAACTGCTCTGGGAAGTTAAGATTGAAAAAAGCATTGTTCCAGCCTTTCATGGGTCATTCTACTACCATGAGCGAGGGGCAATGAGATCTCCTGGTACTGAGGGGTCCTTTAACACTAAAATACAAATGTCTACATCTTTCAACAAGTGCCAAATAATACACGGCTTAAAGAAAAAGAAATATTCCTGGAGATATACAAGTGACATCATTGCATTTACAGCATGGTGAAAATTGAGATTAGTCCAGCCACCCTGCCAGGAACAACAAGTACAAATTATATTCTTCACTTGCAAAATGTGACTCTGTAAACAGAGCCCAACAGCCTTTCAAGAATTACTTAGCAGGTAATTAGTGTTTTCAAAATACTTTGTCACTATATTTTAAGATCTGGGCCTTGACACGGATTAGCTAAACAGACAAAAAGTCTTTATCTTGCATTTTAGTGAACCGCATTTAGACTGCAGCCAGCTTCTGGATATGGTTGGAATAAAATGCAAAGGCAGCAGTCCAGACCCACTTCTCCTTCAAAGCTTTTCTTACTTTCACACATAAAGTATGCTGGTATTGCACTGATTTGTTTGGAAGCACTCAGATGCAGTCCAGCCACTGAGACATGCTTGAACAAAGAGCGGTTTTCACCTTCAAATTTAGATTTTCTGTGGGAGTAGAATCCCCAAGTGGGAACGAAGTGTAGGGGCAGGATCACTCAGCCAGGCAGACTCAAGACTGGCGGGGTGGACGTGATGATGGAGTCGGCATGGCCGGCTCTGACATCCGCGCTGCCCCTCGGGGCGGTGACCGGTCTGCCCAAGGACAGCACGGACTCACCAGGCTTGCTTCCCCAGAGCTACTCACCGCTGTGCTGTGAACAGTCCTCCTTCTCGCGGAGCCCTCGGGTGGTGTTACAAAGAATTTTGGTCGCTCCAGTGGGTTTCTAGAGTGTGCGGCTCTGTAGGGCGTGATGTTGATGGGGCTGCAAGATGCTGAACGAGGACAAATGGGGATAACTAGGGTGCAGGTGATTGTTTTACACACAAGAGTGCCAGAGGAGCAGTTGAAGGAAAGCCAAAAGCAGGATCAGGACAAGGAGCAAAGCAGAGATAGAGAGAAAAGTAGGGAGAAGTGTTATTACCTAAAGGCCTCCAGAACCATCACGCTCAATTCTCCTCACGGTCCTATGTCCAAAAGGAGGGCACGTCCAAGTGAAAAATCAGGAATATATAAACTATTTGGCTATTTAAATACTTTAATCAAAGAGACAGACGTCAGCCATACAGAAAGCAATGGCCTTATATTCCTATAAACAGATGGTTCTGGTAAAATGCTATATTAGTGACAGATAATTTTAAGATAAGGATTGTTTAAAATCAGATTTTTCCTAATTAGCTTTCAGATGGAACAAAAGGTGGAAAGACAGCAAGTGAGCAAGCAGGCAAGCAAGATATATTGCAGCTATTTTGGGAGTAAAATTCAGCAGCCAGTGGGGGAAAAAAGCAACTGAATTTTTAAAATGTTAAATGACCAAGTCTCATGAGGTGTTAAGACTTGCTACATGAATAACTAATAATTTCCAGAAAAAAAATTCTGTAAATGTTTTATCTACTTAAAGGCAAATCAAATGCATGCTTTTGGGTTTTTTCCCAAAAGCCAAGGCATTGGATGGTTCATAACAAGCAGAGGAACGTATAGGGAAATGGGATGTCATCATTTAAAACGGTGAAGAGAACATGAATATGTTAGAATTGCCAAAAATAAAGTTGAATCGTGAACAGCTGTTATAATCATGAATAACTTATAGTTTTACTTAAGATGAGATTTTTGTTTTGTGAAAACCACATACTTTCTGACCTTACTTTCAAAGGAACATTGTCATTAATCAAGTGGTTGATTCTGAATAACAATGGGGTTAAAGAAATTCACAGAACATGCATAGGTATCAGACATATGGGTACTAATGATCCAAGGTTCATTTTCATATTTCATCCAGAAATCTCGTTTTCTAGGAAAATAAGACAGACATGACTACTGAAAGGAATACTATGTGTCTGGACCATGTTATGACTTTACCCAACCCTCGCCATTGTAGCAACTCTTTAAAGAAACTATTACATCAACTGAATACAATAGTATTAAGTTAATAAATTCAAAACTCAGAAGTTCATAAGACAAATTCAAAATAATCTTAATTTCAGAATTATGGTTAAAAATGTTATTTTGGTTTACTCTACAGACAGAAAGTCCATCAGATTGCATCTTCACCCTTGTGTTCTCTTTCATTAAATGCCTTGCAGTATCTTGTGGTTATCACTGAATGGTCAAGGCAGTGAATCGTCTGGAAACGGCATTCTTTTCCCATCATTTGAAAACAGAACTCTTATTTCTTGGATAAGCTGAAACACTTTGCATTCCCTCAGGTCTCCTCAAAAGATATATGTCTTACTTGCAAACTGACATAAAGCTCTGCTTCAGACCTTAATGGTGAAGGAAGTTTCCTTTATGTTGTGAAGGAGACCCTCTTGTCATTTGGCTTACTGTGATCACAGGCAAAACGATTTGAAAACTTATCCTTTTCTTAAGTGCCACAACAAAGCACTTGTCCTTCCCAGACAAGGAAAGAGTTCATTAATGCAAACCCCTTCCAATCCAATCTAATGCCTTTAAAGATGAACATCCTAGCACAAGGCACTTGTGTTGGATTAATGAGCAAGAGGCACACACAGCCCAGGCCCCAGCCAGAGGTCATTAAGTGCTCAACGAGCAAGAAACCCTAGATGACAGCCTTTCTCTGAGGCCGTGGGTCTGACACTGAAAACGGAATGAAGCCCAGAAATATGATTTCTTTTTCCTCTAGTGGGAAGTAATGATTTCAGGGGGTATCTATGCAACATTTCCTGAGACCATCATGGCTGTAAACTGATCTCATCATGTCTTTGGTTCATTCTTTATTACAGTGCTGAGTGAATATGAAGGAAAGGAAGAAACCTACCTGATGTAGTCTATACAAAAATCCTCGAATTTAATTGTTCAAGAAATACTGTCTGGTTAATTCTAAGGAGACTACATTTCATGGAATTCATTGCTGTTCTTAACAGCAACTACTTAAAAACCTGAAACCTTTAAATCAATAGTTCTAATGATCTTGCCTTTCTGAAGGAAAAAGAAGAGCGATATTTGTTTTTTTCTCCATAGAGGGCCCTCCATATTCCAAAGTAGTCTTATTAAATATAAAGTTTCTTTTATGGAAATGTCTTTGAGCAAGTCTTCCACAATATCTGTATTTCTTTCTACTCTTGGTAGCAGGTATGCATTAATTTAACTCATTTGGTATTTTCTATTTGAAATAATGGCTGCAGAGAAAAGATAAAGCAGTTCACATGGTTGATATGCAGCAGAGAGAATGGCAGAACATTATAGTAGAATAACAACATTTATAAAGTGCTTACTATGTGCAGGTCCTATCCTAAGCTTCTTTTTGCTTATGTTAATTCACTTAATCCTGAGCTCCAATAATCACATGTATCTTAAATGTATTTTTTAAAAATGGGCAAGGAAAAATCAACCCAAAGCAGTGGTCACAAATGAAACATATAAGACTGCTTTCCAATTTTCAACTGCTCTTATTACTTGTTCTGGGAATTTACAATCACTGGACACCCTAGGGGTGAGGGTGGCTGTTTTGATCTGCTATTATAACCCTGGCTCTAGATGTAGGTCATCCTCTTGCCAATGGCAATTGGATATAAGGTGAACTGAAGGAATGACATTAAAAATAGGAAGACAAGAAAAAAAAATCAAGGAGAGGAGCTGGAAAAATAAAAGTTGATGGGAAAAGTGTTTTTGACAAGATAAATGTGAGAGACATTAAAACAAATAATTTCAAACCGAAAATTTTAAACACCAGTTTGGGTTCATTAAATATAAGCTGTATCAATGCAATAATAGGTAACAATGATCTAAGGAATGTATTAATAAAACAAACAAGTAAAGGCTATGTATGGCATTGCTTCATTTTAAAATAAATGACAAAAATGTATCAGTTTGTGAAAAGGAGGATGTAAAAGTTGTAAACAAGAGCCAGTTAGCAGATTAAAAAGCACCTTGATTGAGCATAAGGATGTCAGAAGGTGGAAAGATGGGCAAGTCAAATGGGTGGAAAATGAAGAAATGGTGTTGGCAGGGACTAGAGGAACAGTGAAAGAATTGACAAAAGTTAGTGATGACAGAAATAGCAAAGGAAGATAGTTTTGTTTTTTTTTTTAGCTGTGAGGCAGTCCTTTAGTATGAAGCAACACACAGTGGAGGTTCAGAAGCACAAGAGACAGACTATTTGGAGCCTATGAAACATGACTGAAAAGCAGTTTCAAAGGTTCTTCAATTAGCTGGACATAAAGAAAAGCTTTCATGACTTGTATGTAAGTACAACAAAATGGGCATCAAAGTAAATTATCTTGTACTTTTTCCTCCAGAAAAATCTCAGATGCAATGTGACAGCTGACAGAAGAGTTGCTTTACAGAAAGCACAGATCGCTGTGGCCCAGCTAGTTGAGTGCATGATGGTACACACAGCATCACAAGCGTGCCAAGGGTAGAAGCACATCTAAGATCGAGTCCACCTCAGCAGCTCTGGTGCAAGTCACTTATTGTCAAGCTCTTGCTTTCCACAGGAAGGTGGTGGGAATGCCTCTACTTGCTTTCTTGACTGCCTCCCAGGGGTACTGTGAGAAGTCAAGTTGACACTAGCTCCCTGGGCACTATAGACGAAAGACATCATAAAACTACCAAGAGTTATTATTTAAAAAAAAAAAAAAAGAGGGTAGTGAACATGAAGAGGCTTGCAAAGGCAAAGCCTTTTTAAAGGGAGCTTTATGAGGAGGCAATGCAGTTTCCTACATACCAAAGATGAGGGCTGGTCACATGGATATTTGGGAAAACCTAAGTCAACTCACTGTGAGGAGACACTGCCAAATGCCTAATATGTATGTTTCTTTCCAGCTAGGTGTAGACTATACGAACTTCTCATTAAACTAACTGGCTCATTCAGGCATGTTTTACATTTTAAAAAAGTAGAGGAGTTATAACTAATTATAATAACTAGTACTTGGCACATTTTACATATTTTCAAAGTAATGTTACAACTAAGAACACTGTAATTAGCCTTCTCCACAACTCTTAGCATTTTGAAAGGGTACTATTCCTCGATTACTAAATATAAAAGCCTGGCCCAGGGAGGATAAGTGGCTAGCCCACGGCCACATTTATGAAACACTATGCTTAAACAGGCTTGTGCTTTGATATTATCCCCAAGCCCACAAAGTAGTATTCAATCTTAAATTATTTCTACCTTTGATCATCTGCTCAAATGCGAAGGCAGAAAGGAAGGGAAAGGGATAGGATTTTCTAGTAACAGTTAGGAACTGACAGAAGCCTCTGGAGCCACCAGATCACAGGGAGGGACATCCTTTGTCTGCCTGGCATCTGGTGTCCAGATAAGATGCTAAGATGGAAGCGCAGAGGAACAATGCCAGGGGCATGAAACCAACGCCAGCAGACATATTTCCCCCGCCATCCCACCAGGAGGAGAAGCACGCAATGGGAAGAACTGAGATGTGATCAGATGCAAATGGGGTGGCTCAGAGAGGGCTTTGAAAGGAGGACTTTACCTCACTGAGGAAGGTGCACCTTGACAGTTTTACCTGCATCTCCAGACAAGGCAGCTGCGCTTTTACTCCTGGCCAGGAACGCGTGTGTGGGCGTCAGCAGTCTGTTAACCACGCTGCTCTCCCACGGGCTGAGCTGCAGGCGGCGAGCTAAACGTCACCACATAAGCGAGATGTTAGAAGCGTTCTTCCAGGGGCGAGGCGGGTGCAGGGCATGACCCTTTTCACTTCCCAGGCCTCGGAGAGAAACCTCGACAGAGACCAGGCTGTCCAGGGAGGAAGGTGGTGCAGAGCTGGGGCAGGAAGGACTCTGCTCAGAGGAGCGGCTATTCCATACGGTTGGCTCCCTTCAAGGTGTTAAGTCTGTGAGGCTCTATATTAGGTTTGTGGACACGGCTTTTGCTAACCACCTGCCTATGGAGTCAACAGGTAACAAAACAGAAGAACCATTTCAAGCGGGCTTGGCATGTTTCTCTGAGTCCACTGAACCAAGCTGCCTTCACTGGGATGGGCAGTGGGACTAAGGCATACACCTCAGCCAAAGGGCATCCTAAGTAGCCTGCATGTCAAGTTCAACAAAGGATTGGGCAGCTTAATGCGAGACTGGAAATATGTAAATAAAGATAGAAAGGGTCTCCATTATATTTTGCTACATCTCCATGAACTGCTATGTGGGTAACTGGGAGGGGCGGAATTAGATATCATAAAATGAAAGAGGACTCTTGTAAAAGTTCTGCATAGAACTTTTGTCTTCCCCATTCAGCAAGCAGGTTCCTTCAGGTCCCTGGTTTGGCAAGAACATAAAACTTTTGATGGAGGATAAGGATAAAGCTGAACATAAAATTAAGGTAGAAAAGCCAAAATCCAATATAACCATAATGTTGGAAATTAGTAGTGGGTGTATGAAGAATCCAGAAAATATATTTAAAATGATACAATGCAGTAGAGTCCCAAATTGTACTGGGGCTTCACAAGACCACTGTTAGGAAATGCAAGCTAATTACAAATAAATTACTTTGCTTATGCTATTAGCTTCCAGTAATGGTCTATGAAAATACAGAAGCTACTTTCCAAAGATATCAGGGAAGAAGCTTGCAAAATCCTACAAGTATCACTAAAATAAAGTGATCATATAGACTTGACCCTTAAACAACAGAACTTGAACTGCACAGGTTCACTTATATGTGGATTTTTCCCACCAAGTATACTGTTGGCCCTTGGTATCCACGGATGCAGAGGGCTCACTATGGGGCTCAAGCAGTTGAGGATCTTGGTGTCTGCAGCAGTTCCTGGAACTAACCTCCTGTGGATACCAAGAGAGGACTGTATATTTTAGAACATACTCCCAAATCACTTATAAAACCTTTAAAACTAAACCTGACAAGGCCATTCTGTTCTACACCACAAACAGCAGGTGCAAGTCCTCTGGCCTCTGGAGCAACTATTCTTATAATAATTTTTTATATATGTTATATTTTAAAGAAATGACTCCTAACTTCCAGAAAATTAATTTTAGTTAATAGAAGCCATCCAGTGTTAAAGGTTGTTAAAGAAAATATCTGCTATTTCAAAGGGAGGTACCAACCTCCAATAAGTACCTTAATTACCTGACTTTATTTTAAAAGAGTAGCCATTTTAATCAGGCACTGGTGTATTTAAGAATTAGTGAATAGTTTATTAGATTTTCTGGGTTTTGGGGGGAGAGTCTTCATGGTGAAATTAAACCTTATCTGTTGATATGAAGACATACAAAAAAAATATGTTATAAAAACTATTATAATACAGTTGGTAGAATGCACAATAGGATAAGTGCCATTATAAGCTATAGTATGGCAGTGTGTGTGTGTGTGTGTGTGTGTGTGTGTGTGTGTGTGTGTGTATCAACAGAACATAATCTAACCTAAAATTAGAATACATTCAGAGAATTAAATCAATGGGGGAAGTAATTAGGATTAAATTAAAATCTTCAACAGAATTGTAATTTCAGTAGATGATAAAGGAAAGAAGAGGTGAATCCTTCCTTTTCTTAGATAAACTCTGTAGAATAAATGACTCAAAACTGCAGCTGGTCTATCATTGAAAAGACATGTCTGCTTTTTCTCCTCGATTAACAAGTTTAATTGCTCTATTTCTGTTTCGTCTTTAAGGTATCAACCAAAGAATCTGCTTCAAATGAAGATCATTAAACACCCTCTTTGACTTGGGTTTAAAGCAAATCCGAAGAGATTTGTTTTAATAACTTCGGAACTCTGAATGAAAGATGTTGCTAGGAGAAATATGTTTCCAGTTCTACCATATTCTTAACTATGCCCTGAGCAAGAGAGAAGATAAGATAAATTTTTAGTAAAGGTTAGTACAGGAGAGTTACTTTAAAAATTTTTTCAACCTAGAAGGGCCTGATCTTGAGATAAGCTGCTGAAGGAAAAGGTATTAATTCTCACGAAACAACTATAGTATTGATCCTCCTTAAGCAGTTAAAATGAGATATTGACAATTCCCTTAATAGACAATCTGGTCCAAGGAGGCAACTAAACATTACAGATACTTGTGCCGCCCTGTTTCCTCCACAAGCAGGAAAGCACTATTTAGTTCCTAATGATGGGTGCCACGTAGAAATCAGGTACATATTGTTATATCCTGAAATGTTCTATGATATCTTCCATTTTTTTTTTTCATATGATGGCATAGTTTGAACTAAAACAGTAGCAACAACCAAAAACCCATTCTCAGGCCAAACAACATGCGGGCAGAATTCAGCTTTAGGTCCACCACCATGTCCTCTAATCTAGATTCTGGGTGGGGGGTAGGGGGGAAATGTATGGACTAATTTTCAGCTAAGAGTAGCCAATTTCCTTCTTATTTTTTTTCAAATACTCAGTCTTCCTTGAGGGGGGAGGGGAAACTGGTGAAGAAGGAAGCTTAATAATAAACACTTTTAATGCAAAAATTCCCAGTGGCAATACTGTCTCTGTTGCAGCAATTACAGAAATCTTTAGTAATCAGGGGTTTCCTTTTTATCACATTTTATCAGTCTATGTGACTCTATATCCAAGTGTGATAATCAAAACATTTAAAAACTGATGGGGCAAGGCACAGAGCTAGTAGGTAACACTCTTTAACCCCTTTAACTCTGGAGGGCCTGGGGAAGCACAGCTTGAGGAAGTGGATATTTACCAACTGGTATGGAAATATTCCAGCATTTTGAATAACCAGCAGAGCATTTCAGTTGAATGTCAACTTTGATAGTATCAGAGCTTCAATTTAACATCACCTTTAAGTCCTGTGCTTGTAGGGCTGAGAAAGCTCAAACAATCTAGTAATGGTGTATACTCTCTAAAGACTAAACTGTAAAAGCCTCTAATAATTTGATAAGAATGCTTTCTACTTCAATAACAAAGCATAATTGAATTTAACAAATAGACAGCAGAAAAGAAATTATACTAACTAAATTACTTAGATCTCTCAAATTAGAGAAGTTCAAATGCAGAAGATTCTCATTAAAAGACAGAGCCTTCTCACTGTGCTACTGATTGTTCTGTCTAACTTAAAAAAAATTGCTTCCTGAACCACATGGGAGCCTCTGGATGAACCAGATTTTTCTTCCAGGCTGACCTCACCAGTTAACCCAGAACTGGATCACAGTTCTTTTGATAAGGGGGCAGAGAAGTGGAACCCCCAAATTTAGTGCTGTCCTCCTTGTCCTTTTAGTCTAGCTTGGCATCAGGTTTTACAGACCTGTACCATGATTGAAGGGGCAATTTCCTGGCTCCAGCTATTCACTGCTTGAACTTTCCCTGACCCTTAACCTCACCAAAGGCAGAGTGGATGGAGTCAGGATTAATGTAAGGAAGGACACCCATGAAGGAGAGAACTGCAGATGCATCACAGCATCCTCATGAGTTGGGAGCTGGCGATCTTCGCTCTAACCCTTCTTCTCCGTGATTAACCTGCCGGTTATGAAGTCAGGCTCTTCATTTCTCAGGGGCTCTGCCATCCAGTTGAGCCATCCAAGTTTTCCCCCGTTCTACGATCCGATTACTTCAGACTATCCAATCATATACCATCATGTGTCAGATACTAGCTGACACAGTACTGTCACTCCATAGAAGTGTGGATAGGATACTGGTCAGTTTATCCCCACTCCCAACATTGCCCCAGTTTCGGCTACGGGATCAATAAGCAAGGTTTAACTGAAAATTACTGTGAAATCCCGATTATGGTTTGTCTTAGATCCATGTTCACAAAAATATAAAATTCAAGTGCTAAGTGGCCAATTCCAAAGAAAAGACTGCTAAGAATAGTATGCATATTTTACACTAAGGGAATTGGCTTAAAAATAAAGGCTACTTATGAAAGGAGCTTCAATTCATAATACTTATCCCTAACATATAAAAGGCCCATCTAATATCAATGATTTAGGCAAACTAGGTTAAAAAAAAGATTTAGGTTAAAAGGCAAAAATTGAAGTTGTTCAAACATTTACTGCTTTAAGAGATTAATTCTAACATCAACACATTATATTATACATTACAATGACACCATAACTTTTATACAATACAAAATATACAAATACACATGCACACATATAGAACATGCACACATTACAATCTTTTTTAAAGACTATAAACACTTCAAAACCAATCAGTTTCTTAATAAAGCATTCAAAATAACCACAATTTGTTACTTTCAAAGAGTATGTGTTTTTATATTGCACACTAATTCTTTGGTTTTTCACATTTAAAATTGTTTTAGTTATGTAAAACAAGTAGCTTATCTTAAAAGCTTGATTTTTCATTCTACGATATATAAATACGTAGAATGAAACTTTAATTTTAAAAGTAACTCAGCATTCATGTACTGTAAATCCATGGGATGAATAAAACTCAAAATTCAAATAAAATGTTAACTGGAGGACTATGAATATTGAAATTTTTAGGAAGCTTACATGATGATATTCTTAAAGTTGGACCATATCCCTTTAAATGAATGGACACCAAAAAAACCAGTCACACACACAAGAAATGCAGTAAGAAAGGTTTGGTTAAAGGAGAAATAAGTTAGCAAAATGAAATCTGCCAACATGAATCATTTAAAAAGATTTTTTAGAACGTTAATGCCTGGAATTCCCCAAGTACAGATGAAATGTCAAAGACAATCTGATTGAAATGAAATAAATGTTCATAACAGATTATTAGCATGTTGGTGGATAAGTGGGTGATTTCTGGAGCTGTAAACTCCTCTACTAAAAACTTGAGAGAAGCACCGCTTTTCATCACTGCTAAATGCAATCATTCAGCCAAGTTCTAAAATGAGAAATGTTCTTGTCGCAAGGAAAATGCTGCTCAGACGTTTATTGCTTTTTTACTCTGAAGTTTTTTTCTTCCTATTTAAGAAACGTAGGGAAAGCAACTTCAGATGCTTATTCTTAGCTGCAAACATCCAAAAAATAAAAGCATTAAGGAAATAACAGAACACTTTTTTTGTTTTCCTTTTGACTGTACCTCTATCTGGAGAATTTAGTAAAGTTGCAGATGAAGAGGAGAGCCGCTTGCTAATGACGGGATCAACATGTTTCGAAAGATTCATGGTGGAAACTGACCGCCTGTCTGGATCTAAAACAAATGGAGATAATGCTAATTGACAGCCAGCATGCAGGATTGCAATTTCCTAGTTCACTGATGGAAGGAAAAACTAGGATTGGATGCTTTCAGCTCTATGGCTAGATCTTTACTATAGCACAGTTTTCTAAGTGGACATTTTAAGGTAACTTAAAGGCCAGAAATAATACTCATTTTTCTTACAGGAAAATAAAAATATAGAATAAAAATATTAAAGAACTATTTAGTTCACCAGTTTGTCAGCCAGGGAAGTTCAAGTATATGGTTACAACACAACAAATGGAGAAGACCAAAGGAAAACCAGTGGAGGGCAACGAAAATGATGGAGGCAGCCCATGAGGCAAAAGCGGGTCTACAGAAGGGAGTGCCTTCATAATTTCCCAACGGAGAAACAATGGGGCAGTAATAGTGCTGGTGAGACAGAATGCAAACACTAGAATAAAAAACATCAGGGTCTGTGCATTTGCTGATACTTGTGCTTATAAAGTCATTTTACAAAGGACACTATAGAAAAACAGCTTAATCAGAAACAAAAAAGCAACACTGCAGGTGCGAAAAGGATGGCCCCTAGAGCATTTCTTTTTTTAAAATCTACTAAGGACCACCTCTGTGTGCCTAGATCACAGAGATGAGTGGTTTACAGACACATTATGAATCAGCCCACAAACTTACCTAACAAAACTGGCGGCCATGCAAAGATAATCAGAATTAAGTTTATTAATAACATTCTTATTGCTGTTGGATAATTCTAGAGTAATTCTTCAAGTTAGAAGAGAAATAATATCTGTATAAAAGGGAAAAATCAACTCTGATGGTTTGCTCTCTGAACAGTGGAACCAAGCTGTAACTACACTCACTAGTGACATGTTCCCTGAATACAACTACATATAATGAAAGTCTAAAAAACCTCATTATTTTATTTATTTACGATGCAGGGACTTGTTCTGACCTATATGAGCCAAAGTTCAAGGACTCTTGATGTATTTTGTTCTATTTTCTATGGTTAGCTTCTTCTAAAACTGAACACAAACCAAAATATTCCCTATGGGAGAGGCCTTCAAACCCTGTTCCCACCTGTCTAAACTAACCCTGGGAGTAAATATGTTAAACTTTCTCCCACAGAATAACCACTTCTGGCCATTATTTACAGTGTACAGGGGATAAGTAAGTCTTCCACCAACATCAGATATTCCTATCTTCTACAGGGACTCATCTTTACAGTTGAAGCAATTAAAAAATTTTCTAATTTATTGAAGTATCATTGATTTATATGAAGTGATTTAATCATCAAAAGAAAAAAACCAAACACCATTTCTGTGACTCAAATTCACACTGAATGGATGGGCTCTTAGGGGAATCCTAACAAAGAAAAGACTTGGGGTAAAATGTCTAAAGAAACAATGACAAAATGTGAGGTTTAAGGACACAAAGAAGGATAAGGAAAGTTATTTCCAGGACAATTCATAGCAATACATTTTCTGATATTGTTTTATATGTTCAGCTTCAGTTGGGAGGAAATTGTGTCTACATGTAGGCCTATCACACATAATTAAATTTATGGAGATAAAATATGTATTTATTATATTACTTAACAAATAAGAATCTTTATAGTCTTTTTTTTCCCCTCTCTGAACAAAACACAAACTCACAAAAGGATTTATGAAGAACTCGATTAAAAAGTATAGTCTTTACAAAGCAGGGCTAGCTGATGTGGGAACAGTCAGAAAACACACTGATTTGATCTAGATTAAAGTTAATTTCCAGTATTTGTTTGTTGTGTCCACCACAAGTGAGCACTGGTGTGAAGTAAGGAGTAGGCAAAATGAGCAAGACCTGGTTACTGCTCTTGAGGTCTTGGCAAATTATTCTGACTATTGAGAATTCTGGTAAATTCTCATTGTTTTCAAACTTCTCTGTTATATTATAGGAGTAATTTTCTCTAATTCACAGCCCTAATAAAAAATAATTTATCCAACAGCTCACAAATACAACTCTGAGTGGCAATAACAGAGGCCATATATTGAACTCTAAGCATGGAAACAAGAAGTAAAGCTAAGCAACTTGATATCCCCTCAAAAATGTTGGAGGGAATTCCCTAGGAGCCCAGTGATCAGGGCTCCCAGCCTCCACTGCAGGGGGAACTAAGATCCTGCATGTCACACACTGCAGCTAAAAAAAAAAAACAAAAAAACAAAAAACTTGAAAGTCTGCACAGGTTTACCTGTTTAACATGCACATGTAAAACATGAAGGCAAATGAAAGAAAAATAAGTAATGTTATAAAAGCACATACCATGATGGCTTTTTCTGTATGGAACAAATATGCAAAATTATACCTAGAATGAAATATCACATGTAAATGATCCTTATGACCACAGATTTGATGTGCCCCACGGCAAATACAACTGGGCATGAAGAGCCGAGGGGGAAAACATGCTTTCAAATTTGGTTCACTGCATAGGAAAGAAAGTTGTGGCAACAGGCTTTTAGATTTTGTAAATGATGAGGCTATGGAAGATACACTGAATGTCAGCAATGAAAGGGAATAGAGAGAACAAACAAAAATCCATAGTTATTTATATGAAAACAAAGTGACAATAGCGGTATTGATGGAGGCAGGGTGAAATGAAGCCAAACTGGATGCGCTTTGACCTCAGGTGATTTATCAGTGAAAAAACATTTTCTTTAAGGTTTTATCCAAAATGATCATTTAAAGAAAAAGTAAACAGATCACAGGGAATTACTTTATTTCAGTACCTTTAAGTCACCCGAGTTATACTGTCAACACTTGACAAACACTGTGCCATGTCCAGATCTAGGTCTATGCAGTAGGATATCAAGCATGCATTATGACTAAGGTGGCAATGGTTCAGCTACTGATGAACTGGCCCTTGTCTGGGGTGCTAGCTACAGGTCAGGCAATCAGCAAATCACAAGGAGGTCTGTACCAGGTTTTCTAGTACCACCAAAAGCTGTGAAGTGGTGGTCCAGGCCTGCTAAATCGAGAAAGGTGAATGATGATTCAACAAAACCACCTGGGGACAGAATGTAAGACAATGATTTTCCAAAGTAAATTAAAAAAGAAAAAAAAAAAGCTTATTAGACTCACACATATGAAACTGACACTCTATACAAAATTCAAGGTGTATTGAATTTACAGTACAAAAATAAAGCCTTTCACTAAGTCCAAATTTCAGTAGGATTTTAAGTCAATTTAAGAACAAGGAAGCGCTTGGACATTCACTGCTATTTCTAGCTTCAGAAATCTGCACTTCCTCTGGCAGAGCCTTCGTGTTGCATATACTTTAGGATCAGAATACATAAGCTCATAGGATTGATCCTGATCGGCAACGGTGCTAGGATTCTCGCAGAGAAAAAGGCAAAACTGGTTAACCCATTCCATAATCTTGAAACCCCTAGGCAAATAAATTACCAAAATAATGTAGAACTGAAAATAGTTGCTGAGAAAAATTGTACAAATTTCTGCTTCTTTAAAGAACTTTGTAACAAATGAGAAAAGCAGCCTGTGTGGAGGGAGGGAACCTTATCTTCTTACCTCCATCACCCTCTTATCCTCAAACAGTAGAAGCATCATTTCATTGTAGCTTAATTATTTATGCAGGTTTTTTTTTTTTTACAAACACAGAATAAAAAAGTAACAGTGACTTTAACTGTGATTTAAAAAATAGTAATTTTGGAAAGCAGCTTCTCCATTTACCTGTGCTGTGGATGTTTGGGCTCCCGTGGAGAGCACCTCCCCATGACCACCGGTTTTGTTTCTGTTTTGGCTTCTGGCTCCTCTCCATTGTACGTCGCACGACGGCTTCATGACGCTCCTTTAAATGGAACAGAGGAGTTGATGACTAGATTCTACCTGGTTGTTGGAGGATTCTTCAACTTAAGGCAGAGTGAAGTGAGAGGTACTACTTAAATTTCAACCTTAATACTCCTAATACTCAGAAGATTCCTAACCTCTACACTTTAAGGTGAGAGTAGTTCTATCAACATGGGGGTGGGTGGGTGGTTACTGAAATTATTAGGTTCCAGCTGACAAAGGCCTTGGCATACAGCGGGTACTTAAAAAAAGGACCATTACTGTTACCACTGACTTCTCAGGTGGCACTAGCAGTAAAGAACCTGCCTACCAATGCAGGAGTCGTGAGACGCAGGTTCCATCCCTGGGTTGGGAAGATCTGCTGGAGGAGGGCATGGCAACCCACTCCATATTCTTGCCTGGAGAATCCCATAGACAGTGGAGCCTGGTGGGCTACAGTCTGTAGGGTCACAAAGAGTCAGACACGACTGAAGCATCTTAGCACACTACTGGGAGTGTGATGCTTTTCCATCAACTAACATAAGCCCGTAGTGCAGGTCTTAGTTTAAGCAGATGTAACACATGTGATACTGTATTTAAAAACAGAATCTAGAATCTGAGGATGTGGGTAATCCCAACCCTGCAATTTAATGGACTGTATGACTTTGTGTAACTTAGCTATTCTGCGTCTAAATCTTCACTTCCACAGAAAGTGGTAACACTCAAAGGTTGAGCAAGAGTTAAATGAGATAATCGATGTGAAAACATTTATAAATGGTAAAGCCCTACAGAAGCCCAGTTGCTGGGATTAACACTTCAGCATGCATGAAGTAAACATAAACAAGTTACAGGTCCAGACCAGAGAAATGAGCTTTTAAAGGTCCTGTGGAAACAATGACAATCACATCATTCTCAACCTGATTTCCACACCACAACCTCCCTAGAAACTATGAAAGTGAAAGTTGCTCAGTCGTGTCTGACTCTTTGTGAACCCATGGACTGTACCCTGCCAGGCTCCTCTGTCCATGGAATTTTCCAGGCCAGAATACTGGAGTGGGTAGCCGTTCCCTTCTCCAGCGGATCTTCCTGACCCAGGGATCGAACCCATGTCTCTCACGTTGCAGGTGGATTCTTTACTGTCTGAACCACCTGGAAAGCCCCTAGAAACTATGACTGCTGGCAAATCTGCTGCCACAGACACGTGAGCTGTGCATCCCGGCACCCCCGTGGGAAGCTTCCCAGTTAACGCGCTGTGCTCCTGAGACAGACGCGCCCCGCGCGTCCCCAGGGCAGCATCGGACCTTGTCCTCCTCGAGTCTCTGCCGCCGCTTCTCCTCCACGGCAGCCCGCCTCCGCTCGTCCCTCAGCCTCTGTTCTTCCAGCTTCTTCTTCCGCTCCTCCAGGTGCTTCTCATAGTGCTGCCGGGCCCGCTCTTCCCTTTCTAACCAGACGATCTCTCTTGCAGCTTCAGGAGGAAAAACAAGGAAAGCCAGACACAGGCAGGTTTAAAACCTTAACAGTTGCGGATGCAGAAGTGGCCCACATTTAACAAACATGGATGGGGTCTTTGGTTTTTATTAATCAACCACGTCCTGTGCTTTCCTCAAATTTTCAGGGAAAAAAATACTACTGGTGATTTTGAGCATAATTTAATATGCAAACAATGAGGCGGAAGAAGATGCACTTAACTCTGTTCTTTGGGAACTGGAACAGCCCTCCAGTTTGGTACATTATTACTGCAGAAGAAGGCATGCGTCACATACTCTAGCCTCAAAGCTGAGAGCGATGTGATACTCTCAAACCCAGCAGCACCAGCTGTCTCTCTCTCATTAAAATATGTGATATCCTTCAGATTGAAAGCCTGTGACTTCCTCTCAACACAGCATTGGTTCCGCAAATGTTAAAAGGATTTGGGAGAGTGGATATGTGTATATGTAAAACCGACTGACTTTACTATACAGCAGAAACGAAAACAACGTTGTATATCAACTATATTCCAATCCCAGGTGGCACTAGCAGGAAAAAACAACAACAACAACAACAATCTTTCCTCCCGGGAAGATCCCCGGGAGGATGGCATGAGAACCCCCTCTAGTATTCTTGCCTGGAGAATTCCATGGTCAGAGGAGCCTGGCGGGCTACCGTCCAGAGGGTTGCAGAGTCGGACATGACTGAAGTGACTTAGCATACACACCAATAAAAATTAATTTAAAAAAAGATTTGGGAGAAAATTCCAGAGATTGATAGTTGATGAAAGATACACCTCAGGGGCATATCGCACTGGGTCAGCAAAGGACAGGAGGGATCAAACGAGCAGCCGACCTTGTCTCTGAATTGCTCCTAATCTATTCAGGCAACACATTATCATCACGGAGTGAAAATATACAGCTCAGAAAATATTGTTTAATGGATGGACCTAGGGAGTGTCATACTGAGTGAAGTGAGTCAGACAGAGGAGGAGAAGCATCATATAACATCCCTTCGATGTGGAATCTAAAAAGAAATGATACAAATGAGCTTACAAAACGAAGACTCACAGACTTAGGAAACGAACTTATTGTTGCCAGGAGGAAGGGATAGTTAGGGAGTTTGGGAAGGTCTTATACACGTTGCTGTATTCAAAATGGATAACCAACAAGGACCTATTGTATAGCACATGGAACTCTTCTCAATGTTATGTGCCAGCCTGGATGGAAGAGGGGTTTGGGGCAGAATGGATACATGTGTATGTATGGCTGAGTCCCTTTGCTGTTCCCCTGAAACTACCACAACATTGTTAACTGGCTAGGCTATACCTCAACGCAAAGTAAAAAGTATTACAGTTTGAAAAAAAGTAAAATCTATATGACCTTAAAAATATTATTTAATGATGGAATGCTTCCTTTCTTTACATATACATGTACTTTCCTCATTTCCGGGCACACAAAAAAAATTTTTTTTTTAATATGATGCTTCCTTCAGCCATGATAGCTAAACACATTCTCACTTTTTATTTTTTTCATTAATTTTTATTAGTTGGAGGCTAACTACTTTACAATCTTGTAGTGGTTTTTGCCATACGTTGACATGAATCAGCCATGGGTGTACATGTGTTCCCCATCCTGAACCCCCCTCCCACCTCCCTCCCCATCCCATCCCTCTGGGTCACCCCAGTGCACCAGCCCTGAGCATTTGTCTCATGCATCCAACCTGGACTGGCGATCTGTTTCACACTTGATAATATACATGTTTCGATGCTGTTCTCTCAGATCATCCCATCCTTGCCTTCTCCCATAGAGTCCAAAAGTCTGTTCTATACATCTGTGTCTCTTTTTCTGTCTTGTATATAGGGTTATCGTTACCATCTTTCTATAATTCCATATATATGCGTTAGGATACTGTACTGGTGTTTATCTTTCTGGCTTACTTCACTCTATAATGGGCTCATTTCATCCATCTCATTAGAACCGATTCAAATGAATTGTTTTTAATGGTTGAGTAATATTCCATTGTGTATATGTACCATAGCTTTCTTATCCATTCGTCTGCTGATAGGCATCTAGGTTGCTTCCATATCCTGGCTATTCTAAACAGTGCTGTGATGAACATTGGGATACATGTGTCTCTCTAAGTTCTGGTTTCCTCGGTGTGTATGCCTAGGAGTGGGATTGCTGGGTCATATGGCAGTTCTATTTCCAGTTTTTTAAGGAATCTCCACACTGTTCTCCATAGTGGCTGTACTAGCTTGCATTCCCACCAATAAACACATTTTTAATGTGAGTTATTAATACTGTAGGCAAAAGTATCCAAACAAAGTATAGAAACTACATGGTATATAAATTAAACTGTTACTTTTTAAGAGAAAAACAATGAAATTCAGAACATTTAGCTTCCTCTAGATATTTAATATGAGAGATTCTGTATTCCTGCTACCATTAAATCTTTCCAGAGCTATTCACTTCAGGAGACAAAACCACTGAAAGGGATGTGACCTGACTTGACTTTCATGGAGGAAAAAGGTAAGGACAAACCCAAGGTGAGCGTGTTCTCTGACATCACTCAGGGTGGTACATAGAGATCTGGGTTTTCCCAGCAGCTCTGCTGTTAACACATGGTGAGACCTGGACAATTTCATTTGGATTTCAGTTTTCTCTGGCTTGAAACATGAAGAAATTGATCTTTGAGGTTCCCTCCTTCCAATGTTCAAATCTCATGGTTTTAAAGAAATTCTCAGGCTCAAGATAAAAATTTACTCTGAGCAAAAGCACATAGTATGAGGGAGTTGCCCCCCACTCCAGTATTGCCTGGAGAATGCCATGGACAGAGGAACCTGGCAGAATACAGTTCATAGGGTTGCAGAGTCAAACACAACTGAGCACACACACACTCAATAAATATTTACTGAATGACTGAATAAATAAAAAAATACTCTGAAAACATATGTTAAAAGTAACATGGACAGCATTATTCACAATAACCAAGTCATGGAAGCTATGTAAGTGTCTGCATCAATAGATGAATGGATAAAGAAGATATAGCAAACACAGGCCATGGGATATCACTCAGCTATAAAAAATAAGGAAATCTTGTCACTGTGACAACACAGATGATCCTAGGGAATATTATGCTAAGTGAAACAAGTCCTACCTAAACCTGGCCCCTCCTTCTCCCTAGAGACCTTTTGCCTTATTGCATCTCTCAAACAAACCATTCCTCCCCCATCTCTTTGCTCCCAAGGTTGTGGTTGTTGGGAAAGTTGCTATCCTTGTTTCAATCCAGTCATCCTTTAAGGCAGTTCAGTTCAGTTGCTCAGTCGTGTCTGACTCTTTGCAACCCCATGAACTGCAGCACGCCAGGCCTCCCTGTCCATCACCAACTCCCAGAGTCCACCCAAACCCATGTCCATTGAGTCAGTCATGCCATCCAACCATCTCATCCTCTGTTGTCCCCTTCTCCTCCTGCCCTAAATCTTTCCCAGCAACAGGGTCTTTTCAAATGAGTCAGTTCTCTGCATCAGGTGGCCAAAGTATTGGAGTTTCAGCTTCAACATCAGTCCTTCCAAACCCAGGACTGATTTCCTTTAGGATGGACTGGTTGGATCTCCTTGCAGTCCAAGGGACTTTCAAGAGTCTTCTCCAAAACCACAGTTCAAAAGCATCAATTCTTCTGTGCTCAGCTTTCTTTATAGTCCAACTC